TTCATCTGATGGCTTCTCGAAAGTAGGGGTCACATTCTGAACGTTATCGCGTTCAGGTGTGTCAAAGAGCCGTCGCCATAGAGGTGCTGATCGTACGGTGGTTGCGGCTGTTAGGTTGCTGAGCTGTTCATCGTATTTGGCTTGTTGGGCCTGGAGACTGTCCAGCTTGGACACCAGTTTTTCTGTGAGTGGTAGCAGGGCAGCCTGGATTGTTGCGGCAAGATCGGCAGCTAGGATGGGGGCTGGCGGTGTTCCCATGGAATCGCGGTGGTGATGGGGTTGCTGTGCTCATCAAGAGCTGGCGCGTCGTTGCGTGTGGTGTTATCCTGCTCGTTGAGGATAGGGTTGTTGTCGTCGAGAACTCATTGTTTTGGACCTTGTCTTGCTAGTTTTTAAGAATTTATTCTCCTAGTCTCCACAGACGGCGCCAATTGTTGAACTAGAAAATCACCAATACGTTTAAGTGATTAACAGTTGTGGATTTTGGAGAACAAGATCTTTATTGATAGCTCAAAGGCGAAGTGATTACAGAGGATGGCTTAACCGAGAGGTTATGCCGAAGTGAAAGAAGTAGTAAAGCAATAAACTAGAAAGCCTCGAGTTCTTAGATTTAACTATGTTGCTCTCTAGAATGTATGAGTTGACTTTCTTGCTATCCGGGGTCTTCTTATTTATAGGGGTAGGAGGTCGGTTATGGCAAGCTCATTTTTATTTTCTCCTTCGGGATAATTCCCTTATTTTTCGGATATGGAAATATTATTTTCTTCCTGATTTAGTGAAGATTTTCCATTAAACTCTGAATATTCCTTTTGGCTTCAAGTTGACGTGAGAATTCTTATCTTGATGGGTTTGGATTATTGCTAGAAAAAACTTTTTTAAGAAATATGTTCATTTTTCCTCCAATAATGATTTTTTTGAATCTTTGAAGCTTCCTTAGGATCCCAAGAATGAACAACTCTCTATATTCTATCAGACAGGCCGTTCTTGCAGCATAGCAAAGAGAAAATGGGTATAATGATGATAGAAAGGTGGCAAATGGTGAAGCTGAATCTTGGAGAAGTGTTCAATAAGGTAAAGTTTGAGATAAAGTAAATGACGATTGGAGAATAAATTCTGTTTTTTTTTTACTTTAGAGAAGAACTAATGATAAATTTTAAAGCGGATTTATATGAGGAGATTAAGCTGATGCGTGCCTAAAACAGAGTGGATCTATGAAGTAGCTGATGTTATTCCACTCTGCTAATACACAATACCTTATTCTCCATCCCTACTTTTAATTAGTTAATTCTAAAACGCATGTAGGTGTTTTTATTTTGTAAGATATAATCTCAAATTCCATCAAGACATTGCTTAATGTCACAAGGTTGAAACAAAACACAAAAGCGGAAAATCAGCTATTTCATACTTTACTATAGGTGAATATTAAATTTATATATGAATTATACTACTGTGCTAACTCATGCCCAGTATAAATCCCTTATATATTAAAAGAGAAGTATTTTTAAATAATAACTTTAATTTTGTAAAATATTACAGTGGTGTCATTTTGCTGATGTGTCATCACCAGAATCATTTTCATCAAAGTTATAAAAATAGACTTATGTTACTAGATTAATTACATATTATGCCACTCACATTAATTTGGTTATATATTAATTTATATTAATTATATTGATGATGATTCATCAAGATATTCTCTTTTTCTATTTCTTACCAAAAATATATCATATTAATTATTTCTTTAAATACTATATTTTATCTTTTATTTTGTAAAAAACTAAATCATCACATCATTCATATAGTAATATATATATATATATTGTGTTATAATTCGAATTTTATAAAAACAAATTACTCAAATGATTAATCACCTATATATTAAAAGAGAAGTATTTTTAAAGAATAACTTTAATTTTGTAAAATATTACAGTGGTGCCATTTTGTTGATGTGTCATCACCAGAATCATTTTCATCAAAGTTATAAAAATAGACTTATGTTACTAGATTAATTACATGCTATGCCACTCACATTAATTTGGTTATACATTAATTTATATCAATTATATTGATGATGATTCATCAAGATATTCTCTTTTTCCATTTCTTACCAAAAATATATCATATTGATTATTTCTTTAAATACTATATTTTATCTTTTATTTTGTAGAAAACTAAATCATCACATCATTCATATAGTAATATATATATATATATATATATATTGTGTTATAATTCGAATTTTATAAAAACAATTACTCAAATGATTAATAAATAAAAGTATGTTTTAAAAGTCTAAAATTGAAAATAAGGATGTGTAGATAGATGATTCATAAATTAATATAAAAATACATAAATGATAGTAAAAAAAAAACAGGAAGCTTAATCTAATAGATATTATTATTATTATTATTTTTAGTTTCATATGGTTTTATAACCATATAAATTAACTACATATATATATATATATTAAACATAATAAGTACAAAATATTAATAAAAAGTTGAACTATAAAAAAATATTTGAATATGTTAATAGAATATAATATTATAAATAATTTATTTGATTAAAAATTTTAATATCATAAAATTTTAATTTATACAACAAAATAACTTGGTTATACATTAATTTGGTTAATTTGGTTATACATTAGTTTATATCAATTATATTGATGATAATTCATCAAGATATTTTCTTTTTCTATTTCTTACCAAAGAGTATATCATATTAATTATTTATTTAAATATTATATTTTATCTCTTATTTTTGTAGAAAAATAAATAATCATCATATATATATATATATATATATATATATATATTCTGTGTTATAATTCGAATTTCATAAAACAAATATAAATTACTCAAATGATTAATAAATAAAAGTATGTTTTAAAAGACTAAAACTGAAAATAAGGATGTGTAGATAGATGATTCATAAATCAATATAAAATATATAAATGATAAAAAAAAAGGAAACTTAATCTAATTGATATTATTATTATAATTATTTTTGGTTTCATATAGTTTTAGAACCATATAAATTAACCAAATAATATATATATATATTTAAACTTTATAATAAGTACAAAATATTAATAAAAAGTTGAACGATAAAAAATAGTCAAATATGTTAATGGAATATAATATTATAAATATTTTATTTGACTAAAAAGTTAAATATCGTAAATTTTAAATTCATACAACAAAATAACTTGGTAAAAAATTAAAATATCTTTGTAAGCATATTATATAATAATTTTAGTAAACTTTATGATATTAAAAATGTTTTTATTGAATCAAAAAGTTAAGAATGCATAAATATTAACTCAGTTATGTACAATTTTATATGATTTATTAAAAAATATATATATAATCTATTTTTATATAATCTTATATATATTTAGTATTCAAAATCAATTTCACACTAGATACTTAATAATTTAATCAAAATATACTCTCTATTTTTTTGAATTTTAAGATCATGTTATTATCATGGATTATAGAAAATATAAAGAGTGACTTTGTATTTCTATCCAGATTGTACATATATATTATTTTTAAACTAATTTACATTAGAATTAAATTATCCGATATTTCATAAAATAAAAAATAAAAAATATTTTGTCAATATTACAGCATAATGTTATAAACAGCACATATAAAATCAATTGTATTTTGTTATATTATTTTAAAATTATACTATATTAAATTAATAATTATTATTTCACCCCGCACAAAGTGCTGGTTATTACCTAGTATAAATTTAAATCTCATACATAAACTTTGAAATTGCATACCTAAACTATAAAATTCATACATGAACATTGATTTATCGGCTAGTTCATGCCTAATCCAGCCACGGTATCATCTTACCGTTATCACGTGTCTACGTGGCTGCCACGTCTGAAACGGCGTCATTTTATCACTTGTTTAGACTCATCCAACACACGACGTTGTATAGTGAAACATTATAAAGCTTTTTAGAACTTAATAGAAGGAAGAAAGGTTTGAATATTGCATTGTGTTTATCAAAAACAAATTGGCATCATTTAAAAATTTTATAGTCACTCATCGAAGCCATACAAATACAAAAATACACCGCAAATCTGTAATATACAATCTCTACAAAATTGATTGAATAAACCCTAAGTTTGGAGTTTACCTCATCCTTCAAACGCACAAAGAGATGATGCTCACAACCCCTTCAGATGCAATCTCTATTCGAACCTCCAACAATGGTTTTGATTTTGCGATGGTTGAAGGCTTCGAAAACGTTTTGTCTCCCCTCTGTTTCTCGTCGACGCGAAAAAGAGAAAACACGGGAAAAATCTTAAGTGCGAGCCAAACAAATCGAGATTTTTGTTAGTGTTTCACTAAACGACATTGTATCGTGTGTTGGATGAGTTTACAAAAGTGATAAAATGACGCCATTCAGACATGGCAGTCACGTAGACATGTGATAACGGTCGGCTGACACCATGGCTAGATTATGCATGAACTAGTCGATAAATCAATGTTCAAGTATGAATTTAATAGTTCAGGTATGCAATTTTAAAGTTTATGTATAAGATTTAAATTTATAGTTACTTTGGACATGAGTTAGCATAGTATTATAATTTATATATAATATTAACATTCACCTATAATTCATGTATGAAATAGCCGATTTTCCACACAAAAGCCTTAACCCATTTAGTTTGGTTCGGTAAAGGAAGAGTTCAAAGTTTCTAAACCGTGAATTTTTTTAATGTCGCCGGTTCACTTAACGATCCATTGCCACGAAAAGAAACTCAAAGTTTTCTTCTGACCAAAGTTATATCTCAATATTCTTCCTCTTCTTATTTCTGCAAAAGGTCAAAAATTTTGTGAAACCAACACAGTTCTGCACAACCTTTTATTCGTCATTTTCAACTTTTTCCCCCCAAAATAACACGATCAGAGAATAGAGCATGCTTGAAATTATCCGATCTTGTTCAAAACGTTGGTAAGCTCTTCTAGTTCTCAGAAACTTGATGCTAGCCCAATCACCGACAAGCATCCCCACCACAAAAACGTTAGATGGTAACAGTCTCGTCCCATATATATAACTGACTGGGTGTTTGACCCTGCCATGCTATGGGACTCATAGACCAAAGCAGCTAAGAAACCGTAGACCAACGATCCTATCGGTACGTTTATTGTGAGTATGTTGTGGTTAACCCCGACGCTGTTGGGTCCAAATAGCTCAGATGTGATAGAAACCGCTGCTGCAAATATGAAACCTGAGCTTAGACCGATAAGAGTTGTTCCTGCTTGTAACGCTGACAAACTTCCTGATGATGCCAACAAGAATAGAGCGATTGTGGATGGTAAGAGAGCAATGGTTAGCCACCCGGTTCTAGCGAAATAAAAATTCCTGCACAATTTCACATTGAAATATCATCTAAAACAACAGAAAACAGGACAACACAGATTTCTGTTTCTTGGACAGCACCAAGACGAATATTTTTATTCACTTGAATCAATAAGTTAATCTTATCATGATTACACTTAGTTTGGATTCACACAACTCTAGAACTCTAGATTGTACCAACTGATCTCAAGCTTAAACTAGAACTCACAACACGTGATTTTAGTTCTACCCAATACGAACACTAACCTCAAAGCTTCTTTTTCTGATTTGTTCAAAACTTTAGGCGTCGTTTAATCTCATGCTTAGGTTAGAAGTGCTAACCTTTTTACTTCTACCCTTAACCCCTTTTATACTAAATCCCTAGAACTAGCAAAACCTAAGTTTTCTAATCATGATCCTTAGTTTCCTTTTCTCTCCACCTTTCGCATATACTGAAATATACAAAAGGGCCTTGTGAAAGCCTCATTGGCACGTCATCTTTTCTTCTGTGTACAGAGCTTTCCAAGTCTTCACTCTCCTTAAGTGTATATGTTACTCGCTCCATCTCAGCTGCATCTTCAATCTCCCCCCATTTTGACTTGACTTGGTGCTTAAACATGACTTACCTGCAACAACCAAACACACGCAGCAGCCAATATATCAAAACATATACACAATCCCACACAAACAAGTTTATCGTCAAGAAATGCATAGTTTAAAATAAAGTTCAAAAGTAGCACACAAGTAAGGTTCCGAGAATAGCAAAATACAGGGAAACACACAAGTAGTTCACACAGAAACAAAACAAAAACTGCTCCCCCATACTAACTACTCCCCCATATTCCTTCAGCTTGGAGTAATATCCTCAACCTCATCATCTTCTTCTCCCCCTGCTTGAGCACATAGTTAAGTCAAAAAACACAAAATATGATCCAATTTGCAGCTATCAAGGTTCGAAGAAGACTTACATGTTGCTAGAATCCTCTGAAAGACCCGAACTGCAGCTGTCATATTTCTGCGGTCTCGAGACGAGAGAGTGAAGGTCTTAGATCCAGCAGCAGTCGAGGTTGAGACTTCAGGTCGACTGCATTCCTTCTTGACAGCCTGAGCTGTTTCCTGTTTGGTCGTTGCCATGGTTGCAACTCGCTTGTAGGTGAGGATAGGAGTCAGAAGGATCTCATGATCCTGAACTATTGGAGCTTCTCGCAGAAGGAGTTTATAGATGATACTTGGGAAGACAAGATTCCACTTTTTATCTCCAAAACGAGACTGATACACGACCTGATCAAACACAACTTTTCTAAAGTCAATCGGTATAGCATTGCAGACCTTATACAGCATTGTCCTGCGAAAATTGAGTAGGGGTCATCTTTTTCAGAAATTACTCCTTGTCGTCAGACATAAAGCGGGCAAGAGCTTCTTCAGACAGCTCTTTAATCTATGTCACTTTCGCCTATGCAGCAAGTGCGGATACCCCAAACAGTTCATTAATTCAAGCCACCGAAAATTCATACTCATGGCCACAGACCCACACAGCAGCTACATCATCGACATGTTTGGCAAACGAGAGATGGATGTAAAACTCATGGACCACATCTTTAGCATACGGCTGCACCAGACTCAGAATGCTCCTCAAACCAGCATCAACAACAAGCGATTCAATCCCCTTGTGTTCCTCAGCAAACTCAATTAGCCGTTCCTCTAGAATTGGGCAGGATGAGAAGGACACATACCTCTCTTGAGCATCAGCTGATTCAAATCAAGTAGCGTCAAAGAGGAGAACTCTCTTGCCCTTGGCCTGTCGGGTCTTTTTCCAGCTAGTTTCGGACTGAGCAGGTGACGGAGAACTGCAGCAGGGACTATTCTTTTTCGAGTAACATAACGGCGAGACATGACCGTGGAACTTTTGCCCACTGAGGATTGCTTGGTTCCGGTAGACTGGTTGTCGGATTCTGCCGGATGAACCGCTTCATCTCTTGGGGAATCTGAATCGACCAGTTGAATAATCGGCTCCTTAGAGGGCCCCGCTGAACCCTTATGCCCTTGAAACACCATTATGGCCATCTGATCGGATTTAGCATACACTGGTTCAAACTCCGAGGTTGCCTGAGAGACAGAATTGACGGGTGGTAGCAAGGATCATGGCTGTTGTGAGACTGGCGAGGGCAGATCTTGTTCTGGCACGACTGGACTAGAGCCGACGAGACGCGATAAACCGGAGAGGAAGAAATTCATATCCTTCTTCTTTGAGTCCGAGAGAGAGAGAGAGATATGAAGAGACAATTGTGTTGTTTTTTGTGATTTTAAACACACACCACGAACCGTTCGCATTCCCTCTCTCGCAACCCTGATGTATTCCCTCCAAAATGATACAACTTTTCGAGATGGGCTTGATCATGTTGGGCTTAGCCCAGAACTGTGCACACACTTAAGAGCCATGTTAGAAAGCATTGACATAATCTATGTTAACCTAAGTAACAACCGTGCACAGCAGACCTCTGTGACACCACAAATTCACACCACAGGCATACAAGATCATTCAAATGATTATAAAGGGACCCACATATAAACCTTAGATCATGAGAGTTAAATACCTCTGACGAGTAGCCTTACATCTGTTGTGTGTACTAATATGGACGTCCACAAGTTGATCCAGAACAAGCAGCAGAAACATGTTTATCTCATACAAACCCATTTTAGCTATTCGACCTCAAAGGCTAGCTTTCACACCATCGTGTCTTTCTTCCAAGACCTCTCAGTTTTCATCTTGGACCATAGAGCTTTGTCACTCAACAGATAGCCGGTTAAGGATCATCTTCAACTTCTTTTGAGCCATCACTTGATTTATCATAAATCTAGATCATCAGGCTCAGCTATACAGTGGCGAGAGATCTCTGTATAGTCTCTATCTGAGCAACCATTTTTTTATTATTTTTGTTTGTAATGCTGCTCAGGCTGCCTTAACATATCAGACTACCCTTTCTGTAACTCTATGAACACCACTTCTCTGAGAGTCACCGTTCTGAGTAGACCTCAGGATAACATGACAGGCAGCCCTCTTCCTCTGAGATACAAATTTTCCTCCTTTTTTTTATTTTCACCATGTTCTTGTGCCTATCCCTGTCCTAGACCAACTCAAACACACACAAAGATCAGATTTGACAAACACCAATAGACTTCCTTAGATTGGTAAATCGATTAAAGTCCAAATGTTTGGTAAATAAATCAGCCAATTGATTATATGTACTCACATGTCCAATTTCTATGAGTTTCCCCTCTACAAGCTCACGATTGAAATGATGCCTAATGTCTATGTGTTTAGTTTGTGAGTGTTGAACAGGGTTTTTAGCAATGTTTATAACACTCTCGTTGTCACAAAGAATTAACATAGAATCAGAGATCATACCATAGTCAGCTAGCATCTGTCTCATCCACAGAAGTTGTGTGCAACAGCTTCCAAGTGCAATATACTCAGCTTCAGCAGTCGATAATGACACACTGTTCTTTTTTTTTGCTATGCCAGGATATCAAGTTGTTCTCAAGAAAGAAGCATCCTCCACTTGTACTCCGTTGATCGTCAAGACATCCAGTCCAGTCTGTATCACAGTACCCGCCAAGATTCTTGTTTGTGTCCCTTGAGTAGTGAAGCCCCAAATCTGTTGTGCCCATCACATACCTGATGATACATTTCACCTCAGTTAGGTGAGATGTTTTGGGTGAGGCCGGATATCTAGCACAAATTCCAACCGCGACACAGATATATGGACGACTTGCAATGACATACACCAGACTGCCGATCATCCCACGGTACACACGAGGATCAACATCTCCGCCTTGTTCGTCACGGGACAGTTTTGTGTCTACTCTCATTGGTGTCTTAGCTGGTTTGCAAGTTTGCATGCCAAACTGAGTCACCAAGTTTCGAGCATAAGTACTTTGTGAGATGGTTATTCTCTCCTCAGACTGTTTTACTTGAAGACTCAGAAAGTAAGACAGTTCACCGACTATACTCATTTCGAATTCTCTTGTCATCATGGAGACAAATGTGTCCACAAGTGCAGGGTGCCCGGGGAGCTTGCTTAAGCCCATACATAGATCTGAATGATCCTTGCTCATCAGCTCGAAAGAACAGCGTCTTGTCCACACTTCCCCGTTGAAATCCATGAGATACCAGGAAGGTGGTCAGTCTTTCATACCATGCCCGGGGAGCTTGCTTAAGCCCATACAGCGCTTCCCTCAGTTTGTACACAAAAGACGGATGATCAGGATCTTTAAAACCTTTGGATTGTTCAACATAGACCTCTTCTTGAAGAAGACCATTGAGAAATTCACTCTTAACATTCATCTGATGAAGCTTGAACCCAACAAGACACGCGGTCCCAATCAGAAGTCTGGTGGACTCAAGTCGAGCAACAGGGGCAAAGGTTTCTTCAAAATTGACCCCTTCAATCTGTGAATACCCCTGTGCCACAAGTCTGGCCTTGTTATGCACCACTATACCATTCTCGTCAGTTTTGTTCTTGAAGATCCATTTGGTATCCACCACATTGCCAGTAGATGGGCATGGTACGAGAGTCCACACTTGACTTCTTTCAAACTGCTCCAGCTCCTCTTGCATAGCCAGTATCCAGAATTTATCAATAATAGCTGATCTGTGATCCTTGGATTCAAAGCTAGCAACAAAGCATGCAAAGCCAATAATCGAGTAGTTGCCCTTGACCATTTGCTTGTAGTCATACTTCTTTTCACGCATCACATGTTTGTCTGATACATCCTCAATCACATCTGTCTTGCTATGATATTTGTGAATGAAACCAGCTTGACGTTCTGTCTGAGCTCTGTGTCTGTGATCAGCAGTAGTCGGAGTGGGAATCAATACTGAATCAGTGTTTTGAGGCTCCCCATCCAAATTATTCTGGGAATCCTGATTGGACATCTGATCCTCTATATCAGACTCTGAATCTGATCTTTGCTCAGGACTACTCTCTGGTGTGTTGCCCAATAATGATGCACCCTCACCTTCTCTGGCTTTCACCTCGTCTGAGGTATTCAACTGCTGAAATCTGACAGCTATTCCTGAGGCATCATCAAACACCACATTAACCGTTTCCTGAACCTGCCTTTCATGTCTGTTGTACACCCTGAAAGCTGTGCTTGTGCCTGAGTAGCCCAAGAAAATTCCATCATCACTCTTGGAATCAAACTTGCCCAGTTGATATTTTTCATTCAAGATGTAACAAGTACACCCAAACACATGTAAGTACTTCACAGTAGGAGTCTTTCCCTTCCATAGTTCATAGGGTGTCTTGTTGGTACCTCTTTTGACATACACCCGATTGATCACATAACAGGCTGTATTGACTGCATCAGCCTAAAAATGCTTAGCAACTTGATTCCCGATAAGCATTGCTTTGGCCATTTTTTGGAGCATTCTGTTCTTCCTTTTGACAACACCGTTCTGTTGTGGTGTGCGTGGAGCAGAGTATTGATGAACAATTCCTTGTTCCGCACAGAACTGATCAAAGACAGCAATTTGAAACTCATCTCCATGGTCACTGCGGATTTTTTTGATGCCAGTTTTCCGCTCATTCATCAGTTGCAAAGCCAGAATCTTGAAACTATTGACAGTTTCAGACTTTTCTCTCAGAAATCTAACCCACGTATATCTAGTAAAGCCATCAACAAGTACATAGATATATTTTTTACCAGCAATGCTTTCTGTCTGAACTGGCCCCATAAGATACATGTGAATGAGATCTAGGGGCTGCTTTGATTGTATCTCTTGTATACCCTTGTGATGAACTTTAACCTGCTTTCCCTTAGCACACGGTCCACAAACAAAGTCCTGTTGCAGCTTTAGTTTGGGCATTCCCTTAATCACTTCTTGATTTCTCAGCTTGATCATTGTACGAACATTTATATGCTCAAGTTTCTGATGCCACATCTCAAGATCACTGGCTTTAGTTACAGCCAATCACACTTCTGCTAGTTTCCACATATAGCAATTGTTACTGGATCGCTTTCCTTTCATTTTGACTACACCTTGTTGATCATAAGCTTGACAGTCGGTTCTGGTAAATGTTACCGACATACCCTCATCACATAACTGACTGAAACTTATAAGATTTGCTTTGAGACCCTCCACCAAATACACGTTAGCTAGATGTGGTTGATTCGGACCTGATGTGTCTCCTCTACCTCTAATCTTACCATGTGCACCTCCTCCAAACGTGACCTTTCCAACGATAATATCTTCAAGTACTTTGACATTTTGATGACTCCCTGTCATGTGCCTGGAACATCCACTGTTGAAGTACCATGCATTTTCCTCAAACTCACATACATCAGCCGTGTATGCAACATAGCTATGTTGATTTGCCTTTTCAACCCAAACCTGTTGTGGTCTTCGACTCCCAAAGATCTATTGACTAGGTCGAATCACGTATCTTTTCTGTTTAAGAAAATCATAGCAGAAGGCTTTGATGTGTCCAGGCCTTCCACAAAAGTAGCATCCAGACATTTCATAGATCTTCCGACCACTTGTGTTGTAGTAAGGATGTTTGGCATACGCATGGATCTGTTTTCCTTCACTCACAGATATGTAACGTTAATCAGAGTTGGGATGCTGACCTGAGATATGTGACCTTAGTCTCAGACTGTTCATGTCAGATCCCTGAGGATCTGGGTTTCCCTTAACAAACTTTGTCTGACTGTATGATGTACTACCGTAATTAAATCCAAGACCAAAGCACTCATTTCTGATGCGTCCCATTGACAAAACTTTGTCTAGTCCATTCTTTTTGTCAGCATCTTGATATTTTGAAGTTGACCACTCAATTTTCCTTCCAGTTCTCTGGTTGTCTGCCTTTCCTTTTCGAGAGCTTTTGAGCTGCATTGGAGTAACGAAGCAACTGATTACCATATGTTTCTGTTTTGAGCTTGACATTCAGTTTCTCACAGAATTTCAGTAGAGCATCCTTCCCCCTGTTCAGCAGATCTCTATTGGATTTAAGCTTAATCGCTGTCTCGCACAAAGCCTTGTTTTCCTCGAACATGATCGAAAAGTCATCCACCTCATTATCTGTTTCTCCAACATATTCACCATTCTCATTGATAATGCCGAGGTAGGCCAGAAAGTTTACTTCATCTTCATCACTGTCTTCAGAGTCTGAGTCAACACACACTTACAACTTCTCCTTATTCTGGTTTGTTCCAACACACTCAAACTTCGAATGTACCATGCCTTTGCATTCAGTGCATTTTAGAGTTTTCCTCCTCTTGATTGTAGGGCATTGTGTCCATACCCCTCACATTCATGACACTGAACCTCTATCTTCTTGAAGTGTTTCTCAAATTTCTGTTCCCCTTTAGCTTTGTTGATTGTTGACCCAAATCTCCTCTGTCCTTTGTCAAACCGTTTGAAGTACTTTTTGACCATCAGACCAACTTTATCATCCAGATCATCTCACACAGTGGCCTCCTTTGCAGCGAAGGCGATTTCTTTAGATTTTCCAATCATCTTGAACTTTAAATCTAGTTCATGTGCTTGCATCATTCCTACAACACGGTTGTACTTCATCTCGTCATAATTATATGACACTTCAAGTGCTGATCTGTGTCCTTGGAATTTGTCAGGCAGACACCTCAAGAACTTTTTCACCAGTTTCTTGTCCTTGTACTTCTTACCCAGAATCACTGACTCATTGGCGATTGACTTCAGCTGCCCGCTGAATGACTCGACCGTCTCATCTTCTCCCATAGTGATCGTTTCAAATTATGACGCCAACATGTCAATTCTGGTTCTTTTGACTGAGCTGGTTTATTCATACGCCATTGCTAGATAGTCCCAAATTTCTTTACCAGTTGTACAGCCTTGAACCTGTTGAAACTGGTCTTTGGTGAGAGAGTTCCAAATGACTTTCATAGCTCTGGAGTTGAACTTTGACAAGTTCTTCTCCTCGATTTTCCATTGCAGTTTTGGCTTTGGATAGTCGTTGTCATCTGCATCAACAATACTTGGAGGTGCCCTTCCCTCCTCAACCATGGTCCATGCATCTTCATCTATTCCCTTGATGAGAGCTTAAATCTGAGCTTTCCACCAACCAAAGTTTTCCTTCTCGAGCGTCAAAGATCTCATTGAAACCACTTGTTGCATGTTTTCCATTCTTTTCCCAGATCACACCTGATTTGAAAGAAGAAACACTCTTTAACAGATGTCTGCTCTGATGCCAATTAAAAGAACAGAAAACATGACAACACAGATTTCTGTGTCTTGGAAAGCACCAAGACGAATGCTTTTATTCACTTGAATCAATAAGTTAATCTTATCACGATTACACTTAGTTTGGATTTACACAACTCTAGAACTCTAGATTGTACCAACTGATCTCAAGTCTAAACTAGAACTCACAACACGTGATTCTAGTTCTACCCAATACGAACACTAACCTCAAAGATTTTTCTTCTGATTTGCTCAAAGCTTTAGGCACCGTTTAATCTCTTGCTTAGGTTAGAAGTGTTAACCTTTTTACTTCTACTTTTAACCCCTTTTATACTAAATCCCTAGAACTAGCAAAACCTAATTTCATAATCCTGAGCCTTAGTTTCATTTTCTCTCCACCTTTCGCATATACTGAAATATACAAAAGGACCTTGTGAAAGCCTCTTTGGCACGTCATCTTTTCTTCCATGTACAGAGCTTTCCAAGTATTCACTCTCCTTAAGTGTATGTGTTGCTCGCACCATCTCAGCTGCATCTTCAACATTAAAATCTTCTAATGAATGCCATAACTAGAGGAAGTAAAAAAGGATTGTGTAAGGGACTTACGCTCTGATATAGTCTGGTGTTGCTGAAAGCAATCGACCGAAGAATGAGAAAGACGAATAAAGTGTGACAAGAGTTGTTGTCTCGGAGCTTTGTCCTAAAGATTGCGCAATCTGTCCAAGTTTGTTGCTATAGACAAGTCCGATGGTGCTACCCCAAAAATATGCTATATAGTAAAGCCAGAAATCTGATCTGTGCAAGAGCAAAGTCAAAGGATGTTCTTGATTTCTCGTAATGAGCTTATTGCAACAAGATCTGTTGTCATCTTCAATGAAACTCTTCTGATCAAGAGTATGATAAACAAAAGTATCCCGTTTATTCAATTCACTAGACGACAAGATTGATGTGTGACGGAGACTTCCTGATGAGGATCAACCGAAATCAACCGCGAGAACAGGCTCTCGACGATTGCCCAATTTCACAGAGGCTCTCTCTCTCATGACCGTGTTTCCCAATTTCTGGATAAAATTCCCCAAATTGTAATACGACTTCTTATACAAACTGAATATAAAAGAATAAGAATTGTTCTATTCCATGTCAGCAAAGTCAATTGTCTTCTTTAACCAGCTCTGCTTCTTCCGACTCTATTTCTTCGTTTGTTTCTGTCTTCCTCTTCCTAACGTAAGCTTTAAGTGGCTTAGCAGAGTAATGGCTGTTCGCACTCCATCATCGTTTAGCAACTGATAGCCTTTAAAGCTTGCTTCGCGTGTGACTATTCCTTTATGAATCTCAAGCTCATCAACATCAACAAGAATGAAACCTGAGCCTTCTAAACAGAAACTGGAGTGGACATTGTGCAGATACAAATTACGAGCGTAGACTAAACCTGGAAGGCATAAAGGAAGAATCAAAAGAAGAATTGATCACACGCGAAGATATGTCTTCCTTCACAAGTCACAGAAGGCATAAAGGAAGAATCAAGAGAAGAATTGACCACAACATCACAGAAGTTTTGCAATTAAAACTTTTGAAGACTTTTGGAGACATATTAGGAATTACTAATTGTCAGAGCTCGAAAAAACTGACGTGTATTCAAGAATTCTAGACTTTGTTCTCATGCTCCCAATATAACAGAACAGAGAAGTACAGAGAGAATAAATAGCAAATTTGTATGATGATGGTCGTTGATAAAAGAAGTGGCAAATGATGTAGCTGAATTTTGACAAGTGTTGAATAAGGTGAAGCGTGTGGAGGCTTGAGCTAGAGTAAACGATGAGTGAAGAACCAGTTTTTGCTTTAGAGAAGAACTCATAATGAATGATAGAGCGGAATTACAGGAGGATACTAAGCTGATGCGTGCCCAAAGCAGAGTGGAGTGGATCTATGAAGTAGTAGTTGTTATTCACTGTTTTCTCTGAGCTTAGACAAGACACTAGAGGAAGATAGTGTTGCTGCTTTTGTTTTGGTTGGACTTGGATTTCTGAACTTTGTCACTTATCGCTCTGATTTTGTTTCTATGGAACACAACTCTCACTTCAAGAGAGGCAAACATTTAATAGCTTTTGATGTATACACTCAAACATCTTAAACTTATAAAAACTTTTAATTTTGTTGGTATCATTTGAATATGAGTATATAAAGATATTGTTGAGCTTCACCATTGAAGCCATCGACATTCATTCGATGTACGTACATTTATGCTTTCATAAATGCTCTTCTCAAGAGACCCCAAAGTCTACTCTCACCTTGTCTAACCTCCTCTGCCATTGGATTTGCATCAACGTTTGTATCCAAAAGACCATTATCAGATTCCCCTACCACTTGACTTTCATCAACGTTTGCATCCCAAGAACCATTATCATATTCGCAAACAAAACTAAAACCACACTTTACTACCTCACAATCCGCAGCCTCACAAGTACCATCTGTGACTTCAAATTTAATGGAAGGTTTAGTAAGATTACATCCCTTCTTAAGGCCAATTTCTTAACATTTGTTGATAATTAACCAACTGGTGAAGCCAATGAAAACGTGTGTAGATTTAACTGTGTGTTGCTCATCACCTGCCTCGGATAAGCCTCCAACATTGCATTTAAATAAGCTAGACGAAGACATCCCGACAACATTGTTAAATTCACATATGCATTTCACCATTAGGTTGTTTTTTGGATTCTGTAGTCTTGAAATGAGACAATAGCACATAGAGCTATTCCAACAAACTCACTTTCAGTCCATTGTGAAGGCAGCTCTGGCTCTAAGACTGCTCTAGAAGCCTTGTGATTGAACCATGTGGGAACTTCGCTTCCAGGGTAACAAGTTGCAACCAAAGCTTCAAAAGCAAGACCCTGGAAAGTAGAACTAAAAGATAAGTAATACTCCCTTTATATAAGTTGATGTTTTCACTTAATGTGCGCACACATACTAAGAAAAATTGCAGAATATGTAATATACTCCTACTTTATATTACTTATTAAAACAACAAAAGAAGATATAATCATTTTTGCTGGTTAATTAAAATACATTGATTTAAGAAAATGTAAAACATCACTTAAAATGAAACAAACCGTGGAGGGAAAGGGATGATACCTTATTTTGGCGATTCAATGCATCCGAAATCAAACGACTCTTTGTGAGCGTAGCATATAATTGCGACGTGCTCCAAATTTTCACAGTTAGTGAAGATAAACAAAGATGGGGCCTGCTCTGTTGAAGGAATAAGAGTGGCTAGAGGACTGGCTACTGTTTTTAGTGAGATACAAGAATGTGCATCTAAGTATTGCAGATTCAGTGGAAACATTGAAAGAGATGTAAGATTCTTGCAATACTTCAAGTCAATCTATTTCAGATGATGGAGTTGACTAATGCTAGGTTGCAAGCTACTGATCATATTATTATTACTTAAGCATAGACTCCGCAACATCCATTCATCCAAGGTTGTTTCCGTTGAAAAGCCACTTGATCTATGGAGTTATTACCACAGTGTAATAATGTACTTGGCAGGTCTTTGATCAACGTCCCGTCGAGTAACAAAATTTGAAGATTCTCCATAATTTATGTAACATTCGGAAAATCTTTAAGCGTTGAACAACCAGAGAGTATTAGTTCTTCAAGAGACTTAAGCTTGTCAAGACATTCAGGAAGAGACTCAAGCTTTTTGCAGTCTTTTGGATTCAAGACAATAAGTCTTTGGAGGTTTTGAATGGATGGAGGGAATCCCTTGATCGCAGTGCGATCTAGATGAAGATATTCAAGATTTTCAGAAATCACCTGAAAGTCTTTTACTTTTAAGCAGTCACTGAGGATGAGAGTCTTAAGAGAGGCCAAATTCATCATCTCTAGAAGAGACAAAAGACTTGTGCATCCTTTAAGATTCAAGAAAGCAAGACTCTTCATATTTCCCATATCTTCTGGCAACTTATCAACCTTAGTGCAACCTTCAAGGCACAGCCGTCGAAGAGATTTATCATTTGACAAAGCTGATATGTCGGTCAAGTTAGTCGAGTGACTTAGATCAACCCACTTCAAATTTGTATCCTGTGACAACCACTCAACATAAAACCCCATCAGCTAAACTACGTACATTATTTAAGCTATTTAATTGAATATAAAAGTAGAAAACACACACCTTAGTCCCTCCCCAAACCCGTTAATCTTGCTGTAAGGGAGCCTAGGGTCAATAAGATTCTCCAGTTTGAAGTCTAATGGAAGTTCCTCCAATGGGAATTTCAGCCAGTGGAGATATCGAATCTCTTTCAACAGAAACTCAAGTTTGTCGAGCAAGTTCACTTTGCAGTCAACAGCCAATTCACATAGTTGAGGACAGCGAGAGTCAAAGCCTTGAGGTATCGCAGAGTCGGTATCTTGAACAAGACTTTCTTTTCTAAGGCTATTCCCTTGCCTGTTTTGGACATGTCTAGGAATATACCCCTTGCACTAACCGTTCCCTGGTAACACAAATATGAAGTTTTAGTCTAAAGACTCTAAACCCAAAATCAAGTACACGAAAGCCTCAACTGTGTCAAATGCTATTTCTACGTTTGTGTTTACGTGTAAAAAAATGTTTTTTTATAAAAACATTACACTTTAAAAAACTATTTTGTCAGTTTTCAGCAAGATTCAAACGCAAGTAGAATGTTTTTGTTTTTTGTTTTTGCTACAGATGCTTAAGGTGGTGAATTGAATTTCGTTGAAAATAGTAAAACGCAAATGGAAACAAACACGAAAATTCAGGGGGGTCTATCACGGGGAAGACGTCCTCTGTGTAAGTTTTTTTCTTCTTTTTTTTTGATAAATTCTCTGCGTAAGTTCTTACCAAACTTCCCTGTCTGGTGTTTCACATCCTCCACCTCCACCTTGAAGAAGATGGGGATGACTCTAAGTTTATTCTCCTCCACCCTATCCATAATCTTCACCAGCTCGTTCAAACACCAGTTTGATTCTGAATACCGTTTTGAGAATATGGCTAGTGCGATTTTTGACTTCTCGATTTCCGTGAAAAGGGTTTTCAAATCTTCGCTCGCGACAGTCTTTGTGTCAATAAAGTAGTTGATGTCCTTTAAATGGCAGATGAAGCTGTTGCGTAGTTCGTCTCCTCGGAAGTTGATGAACACTTGAGGGCGTCGTCCGTAGACCATAGAGGTTTGGGTATAGTTAGTAGTGGCTTGAGTATAGTTTTAAATGAATTTGAATTATTCTACATACGTAATAACTTTAGTTTATGTTTGAGGGTTTGAGTTAGTAAGTACTGGCTTATGTTTAGTTTTAAATTATGTGACTTTATTTGCGGGGGTTTATAACGGATTAAGAATTACGATATATAGCATCCTATAGTTTATGTTCGGGGGTTTGGGTATAGTATGTAGTGGCTTGAGTTTAATTTTAAAATATGTGAATTGATTTTCAGGGATCATAATTTTTTTTCTATTAACTAGTTTATATTATTTTGTAATATAAAATAGCAAAAAATAATATTGAATAAAATAGTTTGGAGTTTGGAGTTTAGTTTTATCGTTTGAAACTTATATTTTTGTAAACTATTTTTTGAAATATAAGTTTTATAAATACTATTTATGATTTGCAAGATAAAATAGTATGGAATGGAATAGAAAATAGTAAAAATAATGTAAGACTATACTATTTTTTGCCTAATAGTTGGTAGGGATAAATTCTACATAAAAATATAAGGGCTATAATTTTTGGTTATATGTTTAATTCTAAAATGGTTATGGCTATATTTTTATTTTCCTACACAATATGTATATTCAGCAAATTAATCCATAAAATAACCCTTGTTGCAAAAAAAAAAAAAAAAAATAATGAGGTCAAAGTCAATACGTTAGTCGTTCATACTCAACCACCAAACGCGCAATTTTGCATTTATTTAGAATAAACGAGCTCATCCATTGTACCATGCACAATTTTATACATTAAGCATATTATAATTAGTTGGTTTGATTATTTAATCTTTACTAGCTGATTTTTATTTTAAAAAAATCTGTACTATGTGATCACTTTGGTGTTGACTGTTGACCAAGCGCGGGCAATCCATCCGCATGCAAGACAACAACAAAAAAAATCGTTTGTATATATTTTTTATATGATAATTTTGGTTTTACTTTGAAATTTATTATGCAGATATCGGATAATTACACTGTAGAATAATTTTGATTTATTAAATTTAAGATTACTAAATTATTGTCCACGTGGTATTATACAATGTGAAATCTTAAATTTAACAATGTATATCTTTTAGTGAGAAAAAAGTAAACAAATTAGCCCTTTGTCAAAAAAAAACAAGTAAACAAATTATATCAAGTCTATCCATTTATTAATAAGAAATTTCACCAAATATACATATAACATAAATTTTTTAAAAATAAAATTTTATGGATCACAATTGTATAAATTAATCTTTTTTTTAAATTAAAGTTTATATATCACAACTTTCATTTATATATATATTTAAATATAGTTTTTTTCGTTGGGCTGCAAAATGTAATTACGGTCTACGAGGTCCAAACGCATAGAGAACAGATGTGGTAGGAACTCGAAAAGCATTAAATGACATGTACCTATTAAGAAAAGCCACAATGATGGTGGTTAGGAAGAGGCGGAGCAGATCAGCAACCTCCCTTCTGACTACACATATGAAAGAGTCCGGTCAGGTCAAAAATGATGACAAATGACAACTAGGAGGATAATAGCAGGAACCCAACTCGGAAAACTTGAGACCTAAACCCGGATCCGGACCGAGACCAAGTATCCCCTATAAAACCCACTCCTCACAACAATGGTAGGAGATGAGAATTCCAA